TAATAGAAATATTAAGACCTGACATATTTGGTTATTTATGATATATAGTGTTTAATGATTATAGACCTATTGGATTTAATCAACTATATGTATAAATATATCAGATTCATTTTTAGTGCGATTGGATTCTCAAACCATCTCTTATATTCGTCATATTTTGTGGGGGTATTTGTGATAAGAGTGGGAGAGATTTATAAACAGGTGTTTGGATTATATATTAAGTATATGGATTAATCTCAAAATAAATCTTCAAAAACTGGTTCATAAATCGTACTGGTAAATAGTTGAGAGGTTTTTAAAAGGATAACGAATCATTTCGGATATGAATGATATTTAGCTAATATGTGTATCTTAGCACCCCGCATATATGCTCAAAGCCATGTGATATAAAACGTTTCTCAAGGAAACAATCATCTGATCACAAATTGTGTGAGGATAACATGTATCACAGAAGAAATTCGAAAACTATGTAACGCACTTGTGAAGTCAAGATAACCAAATTCGATAAATTAACACATGGCACGTTCTTTGTAAGATTTTTTAGCCCCTGAGGCAGTATACGCGTTATTTAAGGGGAAACTGTGTTTAAGGGTTCGCGTTTTTTTACGATTCTTGTACTTTTTCTTGCACAAACCTATATTCTTTACTAAGTTTTTTTTATATCATGTCTTCCGAACAAAATTATCCCGGTTACGAAGCACTTACAACATATTTGACGCGAAGCAGAGACAAGTCTTTTTGGGGCTTTCTACACCGTTGCCGGGACGCGCTTGTTGTGATTGTTACCACTTCTTCAACTACTCCTCGCTGGCAAGATCTCGATAACTTCTGGGCCGGTAAATTCATCGAAGAGACGAGAAAGTTTGGAGAAGATATAAGTGGACAGGTGTGTACTTTTTTATTTTGCAAAGTTAGGGTAACTTCTAGTCGAACAAAATTTGCCTAGGAGAACTACTGGGTATGACAACTTGGGTAACCAGCCCCAATTTCTCTATTCAGGCGCCCTAACTTTGTCGT